TAAATCCAAAGCTTCCCGCTCAAATAGCTACATGACAGCGACAATGAGCATGCTCGCACCTGATTCCTTATGACGAGCTGCACAGCAATTATGGCGGACATCCTTGCATTTGAATACCTCTCAAATTCCCAGTCCCGGAATAATCGTCTGGATAGACACGTTAGGCTCCGATTATCTTGCTTGGCATGCCACGTGGGTTCCTCATTGGATCCTATAAATACCCCCCACGAGCCACGTCAAAAAGGTAATTGAAACCAACTCTAAGTTCCTTTTATCTCTACTCTAAATGTAACACCCCACATACCTTAGTGAATAATTTAAAAATTAGTGTCCTTTAGTTTATAGTTTTAGGGATTAAATTGATTGAATTTAAAGTTTGGGGGCTTTAAGTAGAATTAAGTAAAAGTTGAATGACCATGACTCAATTATCCCAATTTTACTTACCACATGGCATTTTCCCGACCAAGTTTTTTTGTCTTGTCGGTGGAAGCTTGGATAAGCCTCCAGAAGCCTCCCAAAAGCCTCATTTTGCTTTCTCATGCCTTCCTCTTCCACCCACATCATTTTCTTTCTCCTTTCTCCACCAAGGTTAAGGTGCTTTTGTTAGGTAAGTATAAGTTTTAGTTATGAATTTTTGGTTAGAGTTTTGGGTAGTTTAAATTAGTGAGATTTGATTTTAATCCTTTGATTTACAAGATTTTTGGGTATTAAACTTTTATTAGAAATATCCTTAATATTGGGATTTATATGGCAAAGATAGTGAGTTAGTCCTTTCTATTGTTTGATTTGGATGTGATTTTTGCTGCAGGAATTAGAAGGAAATTACGAAATACTGTTCATGATTACTGTTTATGATTACTGTTCATAATTACTGTTTACGATTACTGTTCACGCATTATGCTTTGATCTCTTCCAATAGGAAGTCATAATATTATTTTGGACATATTATGAATTTGTTTGACATGCGTATGTGTTTGTGGCTATGGAGTAAGTGGACCTAAGCTTAAAGCTTGGGGTATTCAGTGGACCCTTTGGGGTATTTAGTGGACCCCTGCGCAGTAGGGTTAGTACCGTGATTAGCTCCGGTACAATGTTGCTAGCACACCTCAGTGGACTCCATAGCATTGTATGATTTTCGATTTTATGCATTGCGCTTGTGACATCATATTTGTGAGCATATGATTTTAGTATATGAATTCAATTTAGACATTTGTGCTTATGATTTGAGAATTATAATATTATGTGATTTAATTCTGTTGTGTCTTATGCTTTTTGTGTGGATAGGTCTAAGGGTCTTAGAACCCAAGTTTATAGCTTAAACTTATTACTTACTGGGCTATAA